CTCAATGCATTCATAATCACGCCGATTCAGCTGGATACGAATTCTAGTATGCCACATGAAAATGGTTGTGAACTTGAAAACGGGCAGAACGATTGCATGCAAGAACTGCTGCAGAAACATGCGTTATAATGCGTCAAACACACATGTGTTCCAGATCACGGCACATTCAAATGAACGTAGGGTTGGAAAATTCTGAAGATTGTTCAATTTTCGAAGCACATCTTTCCAAAACACGACTGTTTAATTGCTTCAAAACCAACGGTGTGATTTTATCATCATTTACTATGTTCAGTTTTCTTCATCAACACAAGTCGAGCGGAATTCATTTGGGCGTTCGATCTTCAATCGCTAAATTTTTCGGATGTATTTTTCAGACGAATGCACAAATGCTGAATGTTCCAAATGACACATCGACTTTGACACTCCCAAATGACACTGCTTTCACAGAAACAAGTTTGAAATGGCTGACCGCATGCATGCAATCACCAAACCTGAGCACATGACTGATAGTGATAATTATTCACCGCTGGGATCTGTAATCGGAGCAGAGCAGTTACGATGATCGGAATCATCAAGCAGCGCGAAGTGAATCCACTTCCTCAGAGGTGATGTTGATTGGTGTCAAATTCACTATATCAAACTCACTATTCACGATGAGCGTAGGGGAAAAATTAGTGCATTATTAGGCGATATGACAGGTTACGTTCACATCGTCAACACATGATGAATTGAATTGTTGTACAAACACTGATTCAATGAACAAGACTGCGCATCTGGCAATTTTCAGGATTCAAGTTCGATCACTATTCCAAGATTGGTTTTCAGCCGAATATCGGAAATAACGCATTTTTTGCAATGATCAGTCGAATCACCACAAAATTTTAAAGAACTACCCCTACGTCAAGTCTACATGCGACATTCAAGTAAAATAATCTGATACGAGTGAATGAGCAAATCTCAACAGCAAAACAACTGAAAAGATCTTACGATTGCAGGAGTGCCACCATAATTCTTGAAAGAGAAAATCCTATTGAAACAAAAATTCCATGAATCCATTGAATAAATGCAAACTGTTGGATTCATCAGTGATTTACGGCCAAAAAATCACCTGCGATCCAGTGACGATGACAGGCTTGCCAAGGTCTTCGAACATGAATGATAAGGCGGATGCTGTGTAAGCAAGAGTATCTGTTCCATGCAACACCACAAATCCGTCGTATTGGTAATAAGCCTTACGAATATCTTTGCCGATTCGAATCCAATCGTCGAACGTCATATCTGATGAATCCAACAACGGCTGATATTCAACAACCTCCAAATGAACACTCACTATCTTCATCAACATTATAATTTTACTCACTGATCAAATTTCCATGATCGTAATGAATTCATTGGGTTGATACTCGACCGACAACTCAACACTTACGATAGTCGTCCGAAGTTCTGGTTTCCAAAGACTTCTCAATAATTTTCTAATGCTAGCTCATTGAATCTTACCGCTGTTCAATGTGAAGCTATCTGGGAAGTGAATTCAACCAAATCGACGGCATTATAAGAGTACTAACCCAGTAAACAATCCTCTTCTTCATATGTCGTATCGCTGGCAGACAATAGGGTTTAACGGTTTCGTTGGCATAAAACATGTCGATGTAAGCCTTGTCATTCAGTGGAGGATAATCGCGCATTGCTCGAGGCAGGTAGTGTGGCTGAGGACAGTAAACTGCAAAATTATTCCAGTGAATTTATGAAACTCAGTTGCAATAAGTGCAAAGATATCTGCACACCTTGTCATAATCAAATGCTGATGGAAAGGGATCAAATTTGATATGGCCTAATTTAACTGAGCTCGTTCAAATGAAAGTTAGGCTCGCCGAGGTTTATCTCCATTTGAGTAATAGTTTCATCCTCGTTTACAGTGGTCATTAGTATCACTTCGATTGTAAATGAGCAGCTAAAACTTCGGAGACACTTCTCGCTTTCTGGTGAAAAATTTTCAAAGAGTTGAGATAAAAAAGAGATTCTATTCAATCCTGCAAACTACTCAGAACAACTATGTGAAGAAACGTTGCACATTTAGATGTCACCTCCATCAACACATTTCATGCCAATTGTTCCTCCGGTGTACAGCACCAACACTCTTGATTCAAATCCCTGATCAACATACGCAGCTGATGCCTTACTCAGCAGCCCCGTGTTATCCATTGAATAACTTTTCACACTTGACTTACGCCTTGCTGGCACGGATTTCGCGACTGCCTAAAACGTGAATTTGTTTTTCCAAATATGTATAGCAATGAGTGTGATCTAAAAAGTTGATTCGCTTATAAGAATCAGTTGAATTCATCGTGATCTCAAAGGTGGAAATGCATCGAAATACCGCTGCAGATGTCGTCTTCATTCGTGTTCCAGTATGTATGATAAGAGTTTTGGGTTGATGAGATTCATCGAAATATTCTTCATCTTCGGTTTCATCCAATTCCGAGGATTCACTGGAATGATTTCTATCGTCATCCACTTTATCACGATAATCATCACGCCCGCTGTTCACACCATTCACTTGAGAGTTGCTTGGCACAGTGGACTGCGATGACATCTTCAGCTCTTTGAATAGCGCAAAGAGTTGACTGGCTGAAAAAAACGCTAACATTTACACATGTCACTCACCAGACTGGCTTCTATCGGTAAATCGAGGAGGTGACGCAGTAATGGGTGGTGCAGAAATTAATTCCTATCGATCTGTTGAAAATCAGGCAAGTTAATGTGTCGCTGCATTAATCAACCTTGATCATCATTGACGTGCTTATTGGCTTCAATAGGAAGGATTTGGAAGCATGACGGAAATTGGAATGGTGAGTGGTACTCAAAGTTGAATTGCAGCATTTGATGCGTGATGTAATTCTTGTCATTTGGCAGGCTTATGAAAATGAAAATGTGCTCGACTACGAATTAGGCAGTCGTGCAAAAACTACGGCGATAAGTTCGCTAC